CACTCCAATTTTATTTATTTGTATAGATGAACGAGAATTAACGAGATTAATAGGTATTACATACCTTTCAATTGCGTGAGGTTTCAAGCTGGTTATATTGGCCGTGATCACAGACGTGATGTATTAATTTACAATAGTAGTAAGAACTTTAAGTAGCATATTCAGAATTTAAATTTACTTCCTCTTCGATTCTCAAAAGATAAATTTAACTTTTAATGTCTATAATAAGCTATGTTTGCATTCTATGAATAAATTTAATTGATTTTATGTGACAAACCTTTAAGGTAACCGCCTATTCAGAGGGGGTCATAGATGGCCTGAGGTACGTCGGGGTTCCCCGGCAACTGATACCCGAGACGGCGTGCGGTATTTGGTCGGTTCGAGTCCGACATAACCACCCCACCGATGGGTGGTATCCGAAGGGATTTCCGCACAAGAAAAAAAGGGTAACCGCCTAAAAATCTTACGCACTCAGAGTCGATAAGAGTTAATAATTACAGCCTCATAAAAAACTAGTGTGAAGCAACTATTTCGTTGCTTCTCACCGAGTGACTGTTGTTACTGGAAGACCTAGCTCCGTGCCCACTAGTTCTGGATGGACTTTCAAAGGCCACCAATGCACTTATGACATTTAAGCTGTCACGTGGGGACCCGTCTGTTCTTTTACCGTCCTACATCTGCCATGGAGAAAAATCTGACTGGTTTTAAAGAACCTTTTTTTCTGTCATAATACGAAGCAGAAAAGAAAAGTTAGTTATCCATTTCAGTTGATGTTCGATGCGTTAAATTTTAATTGCGTTAAAATATTTAAACTACACTGGTTATGTTACTGAAGTGACTGAGTAACTTTGAGTTTTACGCATGTATTACGCAATACCTTAACTTTAATTGTGCAGTACTTCTAACTAATAACTGTGGAACATAAACATCATTTATTTATGTTTTTGGATCTTATATAAGTATAATGTTTCTTTTTTACACTAGCCCTGACTGACTGAATGACTCATCAACACAGAGCCTAAACCGGTCGGATTACAAACTTGAAGTTTTGGCAGCTAATGCTTTTTATGTTGTAAGCACCCACTAACAAAGGATTTTTGAAAATTCATCCCTTAGGGTATAAAATAACGGATAAACAGGTATGGCAGTCGTATCGTCGGTTCTACGGGTAGCTAGTACCCAACAAGATTTTGTTTAGGTATGTTATCAAAAACTGTAATTGGCATGCATACCAGAACCTTATTACCTAAGTTTTACCATAAATGTTACGTATATATATTTTTGGACATCTGACACACAACGCCATCTAGATTTAAACTAAGCAGAGCTTGTACTCTGAAAGCTAGATTGACTGATAGAATACTTATATACTTTTTTTGTGTAAATACATACATATTATACATATAAAACACCTAAACTCCGAAACAAATATTTGCAGATCATATAAACATTTGGTTCGACGCGGGAATCAGTCTCAGCACAGCAGTCGCATACGCTACCACTGCACCACCGAAGGCTTATATATATCCAATGAATTAACCGATGAAATAAATTAATAAATGAAATGCGATCATTAATACCATTTTAGGTATTAAGCTTCACGTAAATCCCTATTTTCAACTAAACAAATTTAAAACACCCGTCTAGTCAAATAACCTTCATAGTGGCCAGTTCTGACGTCATTTTCTTTATCTTATCCTACAAGATAGTTTACTTTGCCATGGCTGAATAAGGAGGCTTTTGAGGAGTAGAGGCCAGAGTCTTACCGAGGTGGGGAGCTGAAAAACCAAAACCAAAGTTCTCTCCGGCTATAGGTCTGATATCGATACCATAATGTGCTTTTAAACAGATGTAAAACATAACTGCTTTGTCAAAGTGGCCAGCAGGGTATAGTAGGCCATAACCTCCTTTCTAAGGAGAGACCCATGTCCAGCAGTGGACTATTAAAGGCTGTTGATGATGTGGAAATACATATAGTAGATATACTCGTAGTTGTATAAGCTTTTAATAAATATTTCTAAGTACTTATCATCTAAGAAATTGTTTGTTTAAGTTTTTTAAGGTAGGGGAAGCCTTACGGTCCCAACTACCTCAGGGTCGTGGGGCTTGTGGGGCTTTTCAGGACCGGGAATGTGGTCCCAAATTCCCCTTTTGCTACAATATTATTTATTTTATTTTGAGTTGTATATTGGGTACACTATGACGTTGTCTTGGAAAAGTCTGATCAACAAAAACATTTTGAAGTAATACAAATAAAATTAATTTTATGAAACGATAAAATATTTCTTTTAATTCAAAAATAGCAGTCTTCTATTAAAATTAAATAAAAAAAAAGAATACTGTTTACGAAATATAATTACTATAATCTTAAGTTAATTAAAACATTTTTGTTTATTATAGAAAGCTGTCGCATACCAGGACTCAGGAAGGCCCCTCACGCCGTTTTATTTTTATCTATTTAACTTGTAAACTTGAAAGTTAAAATACAATCACGACATTACATTCATATTTAAATTGATTAGATAACTGGCGAATGGAGTGTTATATTAAACCCATTGTGTCCATCTCACTAAACCACTTACTAAAAATATATGTTTAAGTATCAACTAACAGATGTTAAATAAATGAAAATGATGTAACGTAATGACTTAATATAACGATAATAATTATCACAACTGTTCTGTAATAGTAATAACTATCTGATCCTACTACATAATAAATTTTTGATCTCAAGCTAGGCAGAGCCTGATGTATGGTAACCACACGGCAGATAAATATACTACAGACGTAGATAGATACAGAACATATAATCGTGCTTATAACACAATTATTTGACGTGGGTGGGAATCAAACCCGTAAGAACCCCAATAAGAATTACTAGGTTCTTGCCCGTTGTCCGCGTGCTTCGCTCGTGTTAAATACATAGATTCTGTTAATCAGTTAAGGTATCCTGGTAGCCTGTGAGAAGATCAGCCATTGTAGCAATTTAATTTTGTATTCTTGTGTATGTCTGTCTAAACCTAAGCCCTGTCCCTGTGGTGACGGATTAAGGATACGAAGGATCACTTGTTTTCATCCCGTGCGACTAAGGGAGCAAACTACGCAGGACAACAGTACTGAAATTCGAAGGAAAACTTAAAACAAATCCTATACCAATCCGTCCGGCCAGTGCCAACCAACCAACAAAACCTCGTTTTTAAGGACAGACCTATGTCCAGCAGTGGACTATGAAAGGCTGTTGATAATGATGACGAATGACAGAACAGATGCGCCTGCTACACTACCCACTACTTGTAAGATTTATTAGCCAGATCAACGACCTCTACGAGTTCTATTTACACACGAAATATAAATTAAATATTATTTATATTTTAGTTTTTTACTTGTTTACGGTTTAATTGCAAAACAGGATTTAGACAAAATTCCGCAACAAAGCGTAGTGTTTACTGTATCTTAATGTTTCATTAATTAATTTTAGCACGCTATATGTGTATGCTTATGAATGTAACGGAATCTTAGAATTAAATTTTCATACCTCATGTTCATAAAAATACTAAGAAAATTATTTTATAACCAGCGTTCCGCCCCGGCTTCACACAAAATAAGAGAAAAATAAAAACAGAACAGACTTTGAAGGAAAGTTGTCTAAGACCTCTATCCTCACCTGGTTCACCTTTTTGGAGGCAATAGGGAACATAAACACATGGTATATTGAAAAAAAAACTCTTAATCCGTTTTACTACCTTTATCGATTCAATTTAGAAACACATTAATGTTTATATTAGCTAACATTGTAATATTAGGTCTTTACCTATGAAATTGGCGTTTTGTATGCAATAAGTGGAACTACTGATTTTTTCAAACTTTTTTATTTCTGTTATTCGAAGTAATCACCCATGCAATCGACGCATCTTTGCCAACGCATTGGCAGTTTATTGATGCCCTTCTTGTAAAAATCAGCTGGACGGGAGGCAACAAACTCTTCAAAGGCATTTTGTACTGCCTCTCGGGAATTGAATTTTTTACCCACTAAAAAGTTGTCTAAATTTTGGAAAAAGTAATAGTCGGTAGGTGCAAGGTCTACAACAATTTTAGCACTATTTTTTAAATTTAAGCAATTGTCAAAAGAAAATAATCACGTAGACAGAAATATATTACAGCAATCTTTCAACAAGTCTAACCTATCAAGGAATCTTTGTAAACTAAACATAAATAAATAAAACAGCTATGTTTAGCTTGTCTGTTATTCGTGGGCGAATATTTGGCAGCCATCTTGTAAACATTTGACTGTTACTATAACCTTTATAGAATGCAGAATGCTTCTATTTTCTGATTAGACTAAGAGGAAATAGAAATACAAAATAAAAAAATACTTGAAAGAGAAGTCAGTAAAATACTCATTTGCTCATATGTGTTCTTATGTTTGTTACCCAATAACACTAGAACGGTTAAATTGATTTGGATGAAATTTGGCCGAAAAGATAGCATAGCATTTTTCCTCAAAAAAATTGATGGACAAAATCGACATCGAAGAAAGGACTAGCTTTTGTCTGCGGATTCTCTCGCGTAATTTTTTATATTATGTGTCCACTGTGATTATAATACATAATTACAGAAACGAAATTGTTATGTGAAAAGATGTGGAACTGTATTATTTAATAGTTATTTCTGCTATAAATAAAATCTACTATAAAGCAGTAGGTCTCTCTAGTACTCTATATAATCTGTCAATATTAAAATCATAACCCAGACACTTGGTGGCTAATCAACATCATTCATCACTACATCCTCCTCAACTAGTCCATTTTGCCGTTACATAACTGTCTGTAAACTTCCTTACGCCATATTAGATATACTTATGCGCACGCGTCGAATTCAAAATTCAAAATCACTTTGCAGCGATGATCCGGTGGCTGACGTCAGAGCGGCAGGTTACGTGATGACGCGAGCGGTGCCCTGATTGGTGGAGTGTGGTGCTGCAGCGCTGCGATTGGCGGAAAATGTCCGGTTTGCAAGCGAGGAATGAAGACCCGATTAATGGAGTAGATGTCAGGGAGGAAGGAAATGCTTTGAGGTCAGTTCTTTTTACTTTCGTTACTGTGTTAACGGTATTATGGATGGTCTATTTTTGGGTTTGCATATAATGGAACAAATATGCAGACAAAAAAGAATAATGTTACTTTCTGTTAAATCCGGAGAAAAGAGAGGATTGTTGTTAAAAGATAAGAAGATTCTTTGTTAAACGTGAAGAAAACTTAATTAAGAATTGTTTAAAAGTGTAGCTTACAAAACATTTTTTATTTTACACGACGCCGTACAGGAGTCGCATTAACGATAATTTGCACCGAGACGTCAACGCACCGTACACTCAGCGTTCATCTATCGTTTAAGGAGCTTTGTATTAAATACATTGCGTAGTGATTGGGGCTACATGCGGCTGTGGTGTGAACTGTAGCCGAAGTGGACACCTTCGAACTTTTTCGTCAACTCAGTTTAAGACTAGCGTTTTCTCGTTACATAAATCGCACCTATCGCTATCATCATCATCATCATCAGCCTATCGCAGTCCACTGCTGGACATAGGCCTCTCCCATTGCGCGCCACTTAGATCGATTTTGGGCTTCTCGCATCCAGCTCCTGCCAGCCATCTTGCGCAAATCGTCACTCCACCTGGCCTGTGGGCGTCCTACACTACGTTTACCGAGACGCGGTCTCCACTCAAGAACTCGTTTTCCCCAACGGTTGTCGGTTCTGCTTCTAATATGGCCAGCCCACTGCCACTTCAGCTTGCTGATCCGGTAGGCTATGTCGGTGACCTTGGTTCTCTGCCGGATCACCTCATGTCTGATGCGATCCCTTAGAGAAACGCCGAGCATAGCCCTTTCCATAGCACGTTGAGCGACTTTGAACTTGTGGACCAGCCGTACCGTAAGTGTCCACGTTTCAGCTCCGTATGTCATGACTAGTGGAGAGACTATCGCTAGTGGAGACAAAATACGCAATGCAAAGTACAGTAAAGGCATGATATGATTACCTTGAGGGATTTTCGGTTAAGTTTATGTTTTAGTAAGTTTTCAGATGTTGCACTACTGATAAGGTAGAATATGATGAAATGAACAGCTGCAATACACTTTACAACAAAAAAAGTCAAGGTGTTTTTTGCAACGTTGTTTTTACACATGCAATTAAATTGTTAAACGTTAAAAATAGTAATTGTACAAATTTTAAACGATAATAAGATTACTGGCACATTAATAAAATATAAAGTAAGTACATGTAGGAAATCTGAAATTCAGCAAGTGTGTTTTATCAGAAATAATTACATTTGACAGTACATTCTCAGTCTGTCAACGTGGCTTAGTCATTTTACTATATCACCTGTGGTATTTTTAGTCTGAAATTTTGTTCCTGGTGTAGTAAAATTCCGACTGGTTAACGTCATCATCGTCGTAAATCATCTTCCTTCCTATCTTTGCCCAATTTTTATATTTGGGTGAGGGGAATTGCAATAAGTTTTGGCTGGATTTTGCTTGGATCAGCCGCCTAACTTACTGCAACGCCTCCTGGAAATGTAATCGTTTTCAAACTAGACAAAAGGAGAGAGTTACAGATAACGCAAGTCTCGGATGGCAAAACGGGGCTGATATTGCACGAGTCTATCCCGTGTGACCCGCATGCCAGTCCTGTAATTAGATAGGTCGCCAGGGCAGCGACATCCACTGGCCGACTTTCTTGGCCTTCTAACCGATGTTAAAAAAGATTTTAAGTCTGTTCTTGGATGTTGCCAAATGAGTGGCTGGACTTAAAACCACATTACACATCTATCACAATCTCATCACACGGTCTATGTTAATAATGGAACATTTGATTTTCTCTTTCCTGCAAAACGGCAACAGTTCGTAGCAAAACATTTTTTTTCTGCAAAGATTAGATAATTCGATTACGATAACAGACTGTAATATAATCCCTATTCCTTTTTACATAGGTATTTGTTTCCCGTGTTTAAATTGGCCATTGGTAGCCAACGGAGCGAGAAATTGGAGTTACCCACACGAATGTGCTTCGTGGTTTTGTATTTGATTACGAATATATTTGAAAACGTGATTTTATGAATGCAGGAGGTAGTTTGAATAATAGTATTAAATTAAATTAAGATACTGTATCAAGATATTATTACCCTGACTGATTGACTGATTCCTCCATTCTTCAGAAGACAGCGGTAATGTAGCCCTCCTACCGTACTGGACACCAGAGATCTACATTAATCCGATAGTGTCGATAACCATAACACACCAGTAGCGTACCGATGTTGTGAGTTTACAGGCATCAATTGCCCTAAATTGTAAGTTTCAGAGGAAGTTTTTTTTACTTATCCATCTATACTTACATGTATCTTATCAAAATAATACTCGTAAGAAAGCATAAAATATAATATGATTAATTTTATCTCCAGATTAACATCGGCTCATTTCTGAGGAAATACTTACGCATTATTTTTCCGCGGAACTGTGTTATTTACGTTGCTTTAATAATAAATTAGGAAGTCAAGGCATTTGAAAATCTCATACATTTTCTACACTTTCCATTACTTACGTACTACACTATTTAACTAATAACTAAAAAGAAAATACTAATTTTGTTTTGGGATTTTCTATAATCTAATTAAAAAGAAACATGACGTCAGGTGACCAAAAATTGCTTACAAGGAAGTGTGAAACACAGTTCTTTTGTTTTTGGTGGCGAGTTTTCAACAATTTATTTGGGGTTTAAGACGGCAATATTTTATTTAAAACGTTTTAAATCGGTTCCTTTACATCTATGACTATATTTTTTTTTAAGAATTGTTGGTATCTGTAGTATTTATTATGAATGAACTATTTGATTTACTTTCTCTGACGCCAAAAACTTTTAAAAGCTGTATGTTTTATCATTTATTGGTGTTTTTTGCTCTTTGTCTTTGCCTATGATGAAGATCCACCTGGTCATATTTAACATCAATGACCACAGAATATAACCAGAAAATAACATGACGCAGTTGTTGTCAAATCATACATGAAAATGAAAATCGAGTAATAAACACATTAACACTATCAAAGAAATTTAGTAAACAGTCCTTCATATTGTCCCCATTCCCTATTAGGAACAGACTCACTATCCGACAGATTACCTCCCACCACTATCGTTATAGAAACATCGTTAGGAGACGTCCAGTTATTACTTTAACTGATAATATAAAAACCAATCTTAGTACAAACTAGTTGTTTGTGGAGCCAGGTGATTTACAGGTGACCTAGTAAGCTTTCCAATCGCAGACAATGCGGTTTAGGGATTCGACGCTCCAGTCTCTTCGAGCTGTTAGTCTCGTTATCCATCACAGTTTTGCGGTATTTTATGACGTAGTTCCCTCGTATTTATTGGTTTTCCTTAACCCCAGCTTACTTTTTTCCATTGTCCTGTTTAAAAAACTATGACTCCTTTTGAATCAAGGAGGATTGACGTCAGGCGATCAGCCGTAGAAACATTCAGCTTTGTAATGTTGTACGTTACGAAGATACCAAATATACCTTGTAAAAGGGGAGGAAGTTTAAGATGGTGATATTAGTTTGTTCAATACACTTGGACCTTCGGCCTTCGCTACTTGACTGCATGGATGAGTAGTGGTTTAAGTGGTCGCCACGCCGCTCACTACTGCGCTGAATGTTGTGGGTCCGATTCCCACAGCGGACGACACTTTGTGTGATCTACAAAATGTTATTCTGAGTCTGGGTATTCTTTATGTCCGTTTCATGTATATTTGTAAAAGTGCCCCGCGACACGGGATATATTCCTAATGCAGGAGTTGTCTGTCAAAAAAAAAGTGATTAACATAAAATTTTGCACACACTTAAGACTAAATATATGTATAAAATACTGTTTCAGAGGAGTACCATAATTAATTAAGAAAATCCACATTAACTCGAACAAAGCCACGAGCGAAAGATGATTTGAAATAATTAGGCTCTTTATGGTAACAAAATTATAAATGTATTATGTACAAAAGACCCATTAGAAAAGCCTTGAATTGGTATTTTTGTACACGATCATGGGAAGATTTGCTAATAATTACTGTGTTTTGGACAGCACCATTATTAGTAATATTCCCATGACAGTTATTGGGTGGATTTTGAATTCATGGCAAGTTCTTGGTCCACATAATCATAATCAGTGGTAGCTATGCAAGTACCAATGCCTTGTGTTAAGTAATGTTTTGTTTATTATGAGCCATTAATTTTAATCTGTTAGTGCAATTCGTGTTATTGTTTTGGATCAGACGACCACGAGTAAGGTGATCCTATACCCTGGCACGCTTCCTTGAGGCTCATTGTGGTGGCATTGATAGGAGATAAGACACAAACTGGCCCGAAAATAGATAAAGTAACGTCGATACGCTTGCGCCATCACAGCTTCCAAGCACAGCTGCTGCAACCGCAAAAACCCTCAAACCGCGTGAATACCAAAATTTTGTAGGGAATTACATTTTTGAACATTTTGTGGTCGAGACACAAGGGTTATGGGGTCCGAGTGCTCGTGCTATGTATAAACAACTACTAAGCAACTGATCGACACCTCTCGTGATCAAAAGGTCGGCCTTTTTCTAGTGCAGATCATTAAGATTGCCAGGCAATGCTGCCAGTCTTCTGGGAACTCTACCAGTAGGTGATGATGCGGAGGAATTTTTTGATGCTTGTATGTAAATAGTGAAAATGTTGTTAATATTTTAATTGCATTATAGTATATTTCTTTTTTAGTTCAGTTTTAGTAGTAAATACAATGGCACATGAATATTACATAGTTATACAATTAATCGTTTATAAATATAGCTTGCCACATCAAATAATGTAAACCCCTCATTATCATTATTACCATTAAGTTTTTTTTTCTTTTAAATATAATTGAAGCTTTTGTTTTTTTATTACACATTTTTTTTATTTCACAAAATTTAAATTACACAAAAATTACGATAAAGCAATCTTTGAAGCTGGTTGTATATCGTATCGAAATTTGAGTTCTTTCGGTTCAGCACTTTTTGAGTTT